AATACATTTCTAAAACAAAACTTTAAATCAACGTGAGCACACGTAAAATTCTTACATCTCTAAAATGTTACGATGACGCAGCAAGCAGCATGCAAGCAATGTAGCAGCGAAGGCAAAGCGTACGTTTCCAAATAATGCGAGGTATGCTTTAAAGCTACAAACATGTCACAGAATCTCACCCCTCTAGAGATGCGATCTGACAGTGGAAATTACTGCATGTCGAGATATCGTGATACAGTTACCAAACTGCATTCTTACTTGTCCTACTAATAGCATGAATGTGAAAGTTTGTTGGTATGATCATGTAAGAAAAGAAGAATACGGATTGAGTTGACATGTTTTTGGCACACAGACTGTTTGGACGATGAGGAGCTCGATAGCACAGGTGAAAAGCGCGTACGGCCTGCGATTGTAAAACTTTAGCAAGTTTCAGATTGTCGACCATTGGTAGGGTGACAAAAACTTATTATCTCGAGCTCCTCCGTAGCTCGGAAGGCACGTTAGGCCGTTAATCTCGGGTACATCGGCTGTCGAATCCACCAATCCGCACTGTTCCATCCACATAGCAGTGGGGATATTAATGGGGCTGATGATGATGATTATGCTTTCGAGGATCTTTCAAATGGCCAGTCATAGGATGATGGGTGACCGAACATTTTTTATCTCGAGTTCGTCCGTACTTTGGAAGGCACGTCAGGCTGCTGCTTTCGATTGAAACTGCAATATTTAGCACACACTCTGACATGTACCTTGTGGTCATGGCCCATAGGGAAGACCTGTCTCCAAGCATGAAACGGCCAAGTATGTCAGATCGTGTTACGATAGTTGAATACTATAATACTGTCATCTTTGAAGAACAATAAAGTGCTAGGAGGGCAAGAATGAAACACTTCAGAATAATGTTTTCTCTAAAATGGAGGATTTTCTCCAAGCAACCCTCTATTTCAAATGGATATTCCGCTGTTTTAAAGTTCTTTCTAAAAAATTCCTAGGTCTCTAGGTAATTTAGAAAATTAAAAGATGGCAGTTTCCATGTTGTCCTTATGCTTCTATTCCAGCCTGCGTAGAACTATTTATAGCTCTTTTATTCCACTTAAGCGTTTCCCAGAAATTGTACCTCATTATTATGAAGCCCTTCATTCCATCCTTGGTTAGTTAGTTTATTGTTAGATGTATTGATAACATTATTAAATATATTATATTACGCAAACACATATGTTTTCAGAAAAGCAATCATAATTACTTCCTTCCTTCCTGCTTCCTTCACAAGAAAAACTGTCATCTTTATTTCTGCTGAAGAACAATAAAGTACTGTTATTTGTTTTCTAAACAAAAGAACTAATGTGTAAATAAATCAGAAATGATGAGATCCGTAGGAGAACTAAGGTCGCCGACATAGCTCAAAAAATTGTAAGTCTTAAGTGACACTGGGCAATTGTAGAAAGGTCCTCGAGTGGCGATCACGTATTGGCAGACGCAGAGTTTGTAGGCCCCCATAGGATGGACCGACAATTTGGTGAAGGACGTGGGAAGCCACTGGATACGGGCAGTGTAAGATCGATCAGTTTGGAATTGCTTGTTTATGTATGAGTGACTGGCCAGGGACATTCTTCAAATAAACACATTAAATTACCTTTTTGCCTTTTGTGACTTTTAATTAATTGTGTAGAATCACCAAAATCAGTCAAGAAATCTTCATTACTTACAAAATATGATACTACGATAAAATTATCAACAATATTATAATCATGCAAGCGAGTACGCTTCCTTATTTGTTACACTTTTACATCTAACTACTGTTGATTGTTGATCCGCTATTGATGAATTTTGGTGTTGATATAGATCGGCCCTGGAGTACGTTGTAGAGTTTTTTTAGTATTGAAAATCGAAACGAATAATAAAAATAAAAACCGCTACGAAAAATAATTATGTAACGCGTTAGAAGCCGCGGTTACCCACTTGTAAAAAAATGTGGACATTTAATATGGTATATCAAAGTACAGCAAATCAAAAATGTTCAATAATAAAACAAAATACCGCTTTCAATTCTCATTAATCCGATGAAGATTCCCCATCCCTATATACTTCGTCTAAGTTTATCCCAGAACTGAATTCATGCACTTAAGATTCATTTTCCATTAGCATCTACGGCTCTCACGGAGGTGAATTCTTTGTGCAGTTCCAACCACCTGCCATATATTCCTCTTCTCAGTAATGAATTGTTTTGCCCGAACATAACAATGGATCATCACACTGATATCAGGTAGAATGTTGCATAGTCGTTTTTAAATAAGAAAGATGTGTATACAGGGCGTCCCACGGCTACCTCACACGGAGGGAAAGTATATTAAATATTGAAGATGGGATATTTTACTGAAATAAGACATCATTTTATTTTTAATAATAACTTGAACTGCATTCACAGATTTTTTTTAAAATCGCCTGCTACAACTGGGAATCAAACTTGTGAAACGAAATAAAAACACGACATATATTATGATAACTATCGAAAGGGTTAATCATAAGGATTATTTTTTGCTAGATAAAATAGCATTTTAAATTGTTGAAAAGAATAGAAAAACATTTTATTTAAAATTATTTAACACAAACTAATATAAAATCGGATCCGCCTCAAAGGAAGTTTAAATGTTGAATTCATCATCGTTGACGTTTATCATCCGCTGCTGTGATTTCTGTAAGTGCATATCAAAACGTCCTAAATTTCTTAAAATATCCACCAACCTTTTAAACACATATCGAGAAGCTACGTCTCTATCAGGATATCTTTCGCGGTACCACCGCAAAGTTAATATGTCTTTGTGGTTCATAAAGTAATCTGCCATTAAATCCATTTTATTTCCATTTTATTTTGATACGCCATGATAGTAAATTAACAAAAAAATGCAAATAAACGAAAATGAAACTCACAGAAAACAAAAGAACAGACGCTTATGAAATTTGTGTTCCATTTTCGAATTATTATTTTTATTTTAAGCCGATCGCATTGTAACTATGATTTCAAAAAGAAATGCATACATACTATAGTTTCTATATCACTTTATTATTTTTATCATGTAATAAGACATTCCTTTCATTTAAAATGCTATGTTAGTTAGCAAAAAATAATCCTTATGATTAACCCTTTCGACGGTTATCATAAAATATGTCGGTTTTTTTTCGAAATTTTACGAGTTTGATTCCCAGTTGTAACAGGCGATTTTAAAAAAATCTGTGTGCAGTTCTAGTTATTATTAAAAATAAAATGATGTCTTCTTTCAGGAAAATATTCTATCTTCAATATTTAATATACTTTCCCTCCGTGTGAGTTAGCCGTGGGACGCCCTGTATAGTAAAAAATATAGTTTCGGATTAAGGTCATATTTCTCTCTGACGACCTCCAGTTTTCAAGGTATCGTCTACTCAGAGGTCACGGGTCAAATAAAAAACGGACATGTGCTGTTCACATGCGATAGAAGTGAAACCTACAAAAATGTGAACACGTAAATGTCCTTCATGACTATGTATGTCTTATAGACAATACCTGTGTTACAATTCAATAGACTTGCAAAGAATATTCGGTTACTATTCGGTATTCAGCCTATTCGGCTGCTTTTATTATATTCGGCCGAATACCACCAGGTTCTTTAGATTTAAACATCAAGCAGTTACATGCGTAATAGAAATTATAAATATTCTTCTTTCAAATGTTTAATACTTGTAAATGTACTCATTTGACATTGTGGGTTGCCTATAATGCGAAGAGATGGCGCTGCCTTGCAGCTTAAGAATGGCTAGAAGAATTTCGACGCGGTCCGTGAGGGCCGCGGTAGCATAATTGGTCAGTGCATTCGCCCGGATTGTGAAGGGTGCGGGTTCGAGTCCCGTCTGCTGGCTGGTCCGCGTGGAATTTTTTCTAGTTATATTTTCTTTAGATTTAACACCAAGCAGTTACATGCTTTAAAAGAATAGAAATTATAAGATCATAGTTTTATTTGCTTTACAGTTAAAAATCTACGAAAATGTGAACATGTAAAAGTTTTATATATTACCAGCTAATTATATTTTATTTCTTTTGTTATGTTTATCTTATCTTAGGTTTTTATCGAAATATTTATTTATGACAAATTACTGTAAAAAAAATTGCAAACATCGGAAAGGTTGAATTGTTGATAGAAAGCCTGTATTGATATACAACGAGCTCAGAATCGAACCACCGATCAGTTGATGTCGACCCCAAGACCGTAACCGTTCGGCTATCCGTCTCTTATGGTAGATGATAAAATTACGGATACCTATCTTGTATCAAATACTCTACTTCCGTTTCATCGAATCTCAAAACACAACGGTGCTAAGTAAGTTTTCACTTCAAAAATCTTATTTCGTTCATATTAAAAGTATCTTCTACATTTTTTGGTTATCAATTGACTAAATAAATAACTGGTATTTTTTTATAAAAACCTACTAAGACCTAGACTCAGCAAAAGCTAAGCAAATACATAGTGAAGAAAACTAAACATGAAAACATTTGAATGAAAAACAAAATTGAAAAGAGCTGAATGTTTGCCTTTCGTTCCTTTGACTCACGTAAATGCAATCCTCGAGATTAGAGGCTAATGAATGGGATGGTCTGTCCATCCTGACCACAAAGGGATAGCCTCAGCAATTCCTGCCTCTGGCGAAACGAGGTCGTTAAGTACTACTTAATGCCGCTGAAACGAAATTCGCTATCGTTTGAGCACTAACATCCCTAAATGATTCATACACATCAGCTTTCAACAGGCAAAACGTAAATGGATATAAACTTTCATAATGTTTGAAATGTAATTATGATGGTAGATGAATATGGCCCGTCTGATGATGAGCGCCTACAAAAGTTCATATACGCTTGATATACCATATCCTGCAAGCATTCTGTATGTCGTGGAACTATGGAAATAATACTGATAGCATTAATGTAACACAATGGTGACTACGATTTTTAAACTAGACTTCAGAAAGAAATGGCGGGGTGGATCGCGCTCTCCGAGGTTTGTCCACAATACAGAAGGCCAATTAAGAATCACAAAGATGAGTTCAGAATCACAAAATAGAAAGGTGTTTTCCGCCACCTTACGTTCTTTGTAATAGAGTATTCAACTGAGAGTAATATCTGGTATCACAACCGTCTTAAACATAAAGGCTTTGGTGGACACTTACCAACAGGCAAGTTACACCTCTGTTGCACTTTGTTGTTTGCACTTTGAAGTAGTGAAACTGGTATAATGAGCACTATTCCTTTAGCCGAGGCTCGGCTTAGGTAAAGGAAAATGATTTCTAAGATAGAACGTTGAAACTCTAGTAGTTACCTTGCAGCTCTTCTCATAGGATTAACTGAATAGGTTCAACGTTATTAGTGCGAATATATGGATCACAGAATACATTGCCAACAGCTCTTCCCGGTCCACACATAAAGCAGTATTGATTTTTACATTTTACATAGGTAGTGAGTGCGCTCTATGGGTATTACCTACATATATGAACTGTCCGTACTTTATATGTGAAACGGTAGAATTCATACACAGGTGAGAGAAGCTTACTAACCTTGATTTTCGGTTTTGAAAAATAAATCAGTTTTTTTTTAGTAGATGGACAGCTACGTGGGCGATTACTGACGGTGGTGGCTGTTGGTTAAAAGATTTTATCCGCCACCCGGCCCCAGTGCGGATTGGTGAGTAGAATGCTTTATTTGAGATGATTGGGCACTGGGCCAATCCGCTCTGGGCCCGAACCGCTCTAACCCAATCCACTCTAGATCGGATCTGGGCGAATACATTTTTATGCAATAGGGAGACTGGGCCATGACTCGCGGGTCCAATGTGGATTGGTGGATGGTATATAAATATTTTGACTTCGTTCCAACTGATTGTTTACACGCCACTAACGCATTTTTTTATATTTGTTACAAGTTTTAATTTCTTTAGGCCATCTAACTACTAATTTCTTTTGGGCCACCTTGTCTATTAACCTTTTTATAATTACCGAGGTTGTGAGCAAATTGGAGAACTCCAATAACACCATCGGCGAGTTGCGGGCCCAAGAAGAGTTTTTAAGCAACACTGCTTGTGTAAGTAGGTCGCCCGAGTTTTCCAATGTGAATACACGTCGCGGGGCGCAAAATGCATCCGTCGACAGTATTGAGTCGGTGCCTGCGAGTGCGTCACGCGCTTGCACTTCGACACCGCAACGTGCCTACGCAGCTGCAGCCGCAATTCGGCCTGCCGATGCCGCTGCGAAACCAGAGCGAATATAACAACAAACAAAGAAGAGTAGCAAACACAAACGTGCTACTCTGGCGGCATCACAAAATCTAAATAGTGACGAAGAAGGCTTCATCAAGATGGAAAGGTAGAAGAGGAAGCCCTCTCAACGCAACCTGTGTGGTGCTGTCCCGACCGGACCGAACCATCTGCTGCGCCCCGACATATACCTACATAACAACGACGCCGCTGTACGTGTCCCGGCTGCATTACTCTACGAAAGAAGAGGAGATCGTAGAGTATCTGCGGATCAAGACGAAGTTCTCCCTGAGAGTCGCACGGCTGGAATCTCGCCATAATATGAATTTTAATTCATTTGTGGTAAGAGTACCAACCGAACACCTAGCGAACATTATGAAAGAGGCGCTTGGCCGAAAGGTATTATGTTCCGGCAGTTCCGAGGCACACGACGCCGTCAATACATGTTCATTAAGTTTATTTACTAATTATGTAGTTTTATATCTATACATATGTTAGAATTTAAGGTATGTATCTATGGGCCTGCGTTGCCTGACTATAAATAAATAAAAAATAATTATACAGAAAAATAATTATAATGCCTCTTATCTCTTAGGAGTTTGGACAACGATAAAAGATATATGCCAAAACGAAGTCAATACGTAAATAAGGCAGCGTACGCACTTAGCACTATAACCAGGATTATTAAATTCACTTTCCAACGGATTATCATTTTTCAGGTGTACTAATAATTGACTTTTCTCACCAGGTTTTTAATTACGGTTCACCCTGGCAAACTTCTTGAGCTACGACCATAGACAATAGACGCAGTAGTAATTTTAGACACAAAAACGTCTACTGCGCAAGATTATGTGTCTCTGGTTTTGCTCAAGGATTTTAGCTATACTAATTATCATCAAACTTTTTTTTTATTTTAATAAAGCATAGCGGTTAAGCGTAATCAAGACAGTGAATCGACCAACTTATCAATGTGAACCAATCAGCAGCCATTGTTGTTGCTGTGCATTGTCGCAGGATTAATTAAAGCCAATAACCGTGATAACCTAATGAAATTACTATTATGGTGCTTTTCATTGGGGTATCACGGTGAGCAACTTTGAATTATACCTACGTGTCTGTAAAAGTTAGAAGGAAAAATTTAAATGTAAATTAACGAAATTGAAATTTTCAAAATATGTTTTGGTTAATTAAAAATTACCCAATTTACGTTAGCATATACCCATACACAGTATTTCAGATTGGCCTTTATTCTCATTTCTTTGCATGAGTAAAAAGGCCTTCATTTCATTTTGTATAAAAAAATATTTTTTTTTTACCACAACCAAGCAGGTGTATTATAGAATTAGAAAATAGAGAATTGATTAAAGAAACTAGCTATGATGTGATAGCCTTAGTGGGGTTAGTCAGGAATAAATAGGATTTATTAACAGAACAGAACAAAAGTCAGCATACGAACGAATAGTAAGAAGTGCGAATGCAAGTGATGGCTAAATTTTCTTTTTAGATGCTCCAGGAAAAAGTGGCAAAATCTACCTATTAAATTTGATTTTGGGAAAAATAAAGGTCACACGTTTCATTGCATTAGCTGTGGCTTCTTCGGGAGTTGCCGCAACATATTTTTGCAAGGCGGTCGAACTGCACACTCTGCCTTAAAGTTGCCACTGAACCTAACAAATGTAGAAACCCCGTTATGTAATATTTCAAAACAGAGCAAATTTGCAGAAGTAATGACAAAAACAAAAATTGTTGTCTGGGATGAAAATACTATGGCCCATAAAAAAGATATAAAAGCTTTGAATAGGAAGAGTCTAAGGAGACTTTCGTCAAACTCTACCAGTAGTTCCTAGGAGAATATGTGTCGATAAGATAAAAGCGTGTCTTAGAAGATCATCATTGTGTCCCTTAGTTAAAAAAAATAAATTTACAAAAAATATTTGACCTAAAACATCAACACCTTGGAGTTTCCGCTAGCCAATTTTCGGATCTTTTGCTAAAAATGGGTAACGGTGATTACCCAGAAAAACATGGCATGATATCTATCCCTTCCGATCTGTGCACTTCAGTAACATCAGTAGGAAACCCGATTTCTAAAAAAATTTCCAGACGTTGCGCTCATCTCGGAAAAATCAATAGAGTAGTTATGCGAAAAAGCTACCAATCAACGGTCATTAATGTCATATTGCTGAATTCCTTTGAAGGATAACAGATTGTTTAAAACTGAATAGATACCTTGATAAACACTGACGATGCCGTTAATTATCCAGTAGAGTTCATAAACACCTTGAACCCACTGGGTCTGCCATACCACAGACTGTTACTGCATGTGGATACACAAGTCTAAGCTTTGCACCGGAATGTAGTAGAAGCCAAATTTTAAGCGGACTTGCTCAGGGAGAAAAAGTGTTTGTACCACGTATTCATTCCATTAATACCTAATTATCACCTCTTTGAACCCAAAAGGCTCCAGTTTACTCTGAAGGTCTGTTTCGCCAGAACCATAAATAAGTCGCAGAGGCAAACCCACAAATTCGCCAGAATATAGACTGCTTCTTCCAAGGTCAGTTCAATGTGGCATGCTTCCGTGTAAGTTCACCACAAAGTTTGGTTCTACTGCTACCACCTTCGAAGATGGCAAAAAATATTGTATATAAGGAAGAACTTTAACAAGTATAAAGTTGTTGAACACTTCATCTGTTTAATTATCACCTTCTACCTTACACCTTCTATACTTAGGTATCTGACTTGCAATGACAAATTCACAACAAGTTTAATTTAAGGTAAATAGGAACATGATAAGCGTATCAAAAAGTGGTCAAAGTTTGTGATATGGAATTCCAGTTGCGTTAATTTCAAAGTGTTTAGGAACTCTACTGAATGTTTTACCTACTGCATCGTCAGTGTTTACCTCAGTATTTTTGTCTTTCAAAGGACTTCAACGTTTATAATCGCTAATTGGCCATTATCAGACCTTTAACTGTTACTGTAGTGCACATCTAAATTTATTCTTAATGTAAGTAGTCTTTTTACCGGCTGTAGTACATACATTCTAGACAATCATTTAAGGTATTCATAATACTGCTGTAATTTTCTTTGTTCTGCTTTGAATCCGATCTGAGTCACGTCAGGATAATTAAAATAATAAATAAATATTTCCAACACTCACACCAATTAGCCTAGCCCCAAAGTAAGCACTATAAGGCTTCTGTTATGACATGCTAGAGTAACGGATAGAATACATATACTGTACATATATAAGTATATTTATATAGAAATACATATTAAACATCCATGACTGGAGTACAAATGCTCGTATTCATCACACAAACATCTGCCCCCACTGGGATTCGAACCCGGGACCTCTCGAGTTGGCGACACCATGAAACCTGGCGTACAAACCACTCGGCCACGGAGGTCGTAAGTATATGTATATTTTTACAATATTACTGGATCTTCATTTGCACTCACCGGACTGCGCTAGGCTTGTTGAAAATATATCGATGTATCGATATACCAATATTTTTGTTCGATATATCGATATTTTTTGCCGATATATTTTGATTCGATATATCGATACATCGATACAAAATAACCAATATCGAAATTCGTATCAAAAACGATATTTTTTTTAATTATTAGCGGCATATCACGATCTAACTAAATTCGTATCTGGAAAAATCGGTACTGGATCTCAGATTAATGATATTGAACATATCTATGATCTGTGCTGTATTTAGTATTGTCTATGTCATCATTCGAAAATAGGGTCTATTTTTAGGGAGATAATTTTCGTTCCATTATTATTCCGCGTGTCATATTTCGTGAGCTACTGTACGATATTTTTGGGAAAATTTATCCGATATATCGATATATCGATGTTTTTTTCGCGATATATCGAAGCCGATATTGATATTTTTTAAAAGATCGATGTATCGATATTTCGATATTTTTTTCAACTTTCGACATCCCTAGACTGCGCAGGGAATATTCCGCTGTGTTTTAATTTGAATTTTAAACGTTATTTATGTTTTTAACAATAAAACCACTTACTTTATATTTTTTAAATAGTAATCAGATTCATGAGAAAGCATATTTGCTAAAAAAATATACCTTAATCACTAAGTCCACGCGGACGAAGTCGCGGGCAAAGCTATTATTAATATCTATCGAAATATGATGGAAACTTACCTTTTATCTAACTTAAATCGTTATCTGAATTAGCTAGTAAAGTTTATCCAGACGTTGAAGTTCAGGTGACTCTAAATTCACGGTGTATAGTATTTGTATGTATGAATAGTTATATATTCCTTTTAGTATAGTATTCATATTAACATATGGTCAAGAATAGTACCCAAATATCTATATGTGATCACAAAGTCCTCTTTACTGCAAAATTGAAAAGATAACTTATTTTATTAGAAAATACATAATTCTTATTTATTAACCTGTTACTCTTTACAATTTACTTGCCTTTAAACTCCTCATCGCAGTTCAAGAACAGCTGTCTCCTTGACCTACATTAATGTCGTCAGCACCTCCAAGGGTTTCACGCTAAAATGATAGCTATCCCTTTAAAATAAGGTTTATCAAAAAGTCAAATCACACAGCTTTAAGCACTCCCGTTTCAGCAGTGTAATTTCTATCGATTCATTCGTTAAGCTCATAAGCTCAATTCATTTTTCAGCTCGTGAGAATATTTCGCAAATTGAATGAAGCGTAAACCCATTATCCGCAAATAAAGGAATCTAATATAGACAATCGAGGTCTCTTAGCGGGAATCACAGACCATATTTTTTTGTTATTTTACTAACGAGCACAGCAAACCGTTCATCCTTCAACAAAATTTCGCCTAAGTATGCCGCAAATTTGCCATTTGCAGTAAATTTATAGTTATGAATTGATCTTATTTTTTCCACAGAAATAAATTGATAATATGGTTCGTATTAATGATAAGAACAATATTAAGAATGTTTGAATATACCTTTAGCATAACGACTAAATAAAACAAAGGACTGAAGGAGAAAGCTCTGCTAAACGTCGTATAAGTTATACGGCTGCTGTTATCGTTGAAGGCTCCGCAATCCGCATATTCCGTTCTTCCTTTGTTTACAGCGATAAGCGACTTAATTAGACGGCACCTTGAGACGAAGCATGCGGCCCGGCAGATGCCAGCCAGCTGCCGGCTGGGCAGGCCGCCCCCCGCTCCGGACCGCGCGCAATCGCGCCCAATAGTTTTATTTCACCAAATAAACTTTATCAAACAAAGCGTGCGTGCGCCCTGCATCTGCTCGCCCTGCAGCCGGCCTCCCTGTCTCACTTGTCCGCTCGCCGTCAGACAGGGACGACCGCTCGCTGTAATCGCATCGCGGCCCTTCGACTGCCAGTGCTCGACCCGTTCAGAGGCGACATGCCCGCTCCGGCAGGAGAACTAGTCATGACGAATAAACGGAAACGCGTAGCAGACGTCGAGCGGCGTGCGAAACGCCAGCGGCGGCGTCACCGCTCGCACAGCCAGCCGGCGAGCGACACCGACAACGCTGAGAAGAGGCAAGCGCTGAAAAGACTCTTTGGACGGATTTGTTCAGTGGAAATTGATAACCAGCGGAATGATCCACCGGAGGAGGAGGAGGAAGAGGAACCGATCTTCGGTGACGAGAACGAAGACCCGCTTTTGGATTCAGTGCCAGTGGACATGGATCCCGAGCAGTTAGGCTTCCTGGTGTGCGCTCAGGAGACGCTGCGGTTCTTGCACGGACGCGGGATCCCGCCGCAGCACCCGGTGTTCGCGCGGCTGCGCTCGCGCCTCCTCCGCGGCATCGACGAAATGGCCGCCGCTTGAGCGTTGCTTGGTCCAGAGCCCCCCAAGAATTAAAACCCATCCTCGTGCCTAATTTAAATACTGAACTATTTTCCGAGTGTTTTTTATTTATCTATAGTGTCTCTTCTGAAGATTTTTATCCCCCGGGCTCTGGTTATTAATTAAGACGGACTGTGTAATGTTGTTTGTGTACGATAACATCGGATAGCCCGGTGGGGCTCTAGTCATAACAATCTAGTCAAATTTAAAGGTGAAACAGATTATGCTTTGATATTGTGAAAATCAAAATAACTTAAAATATTTTTTAATGGTAAGTGATATTGTTGACTGTAATCTAATTTAGCGTAGTCTGTTTGACACCTTATGAATTATATTTGTTGTAAAGAAAAAGTTCTATTGATGTATTACCTATACATATATAATCCATCAGATTCGAATTAAAATTAGTTATAAACAAGGAAAAATGGCTGTCAAAACTTAGTATCAATAATTTAACTTTGTCAATATAAGTTTTTATAACATAAAACACTGCTCTATTATTGATAGATATAAAAAAATATTTAAATCGGCGAAGGAGTTGTAAATTTTATTCATTGTCCTTTTATAACAGAAAAAAGTCCAATGAAACTTTAATTAATGTCAACAAACAAGTAGATTTAATCAGCATCTGTGAAAGTAAGAAAAATACTTCTGTTGCTGAGGTAAAATAAAATGTCCTATTAGTGTAATTGCATTTTTATTTATAATGTTTACTTTATTAACCAAATATATAAATAAGAATTACCGCTGAACGATAACAACAGTTTTTTTTTTTTTAAATAAAGGTAAATGCTTTGAATTAAGACATATTTATTGAATCCAAGAAAATGATCTTCTCGTTATATAACTAGATATTATTAAGAGTATGGAGTTCTTTTACAAGAAAAATAAATTCAATCAAAGACATAATATCACTTTAGTCAAGATATTCTGTATTTATACAGCCAAGTAAATGTATTCTTCTTACAAAAACGAATCTTGATCTTGTAGAGTAAGCAACCTTAGCAAAGTAAAATATCTAAATCTAAGTAATTTGTACTTATTCTAGGATAATTCAAATTAAGTAAATAGAATTTCATGATATATCAAGTCCATTTTATTTATAATTATACTAAAGTAACTTGTCTTGAATTAAAAATATTTCCCTTAATTATTATTGAGGAAAAAATTATTAAGAGAAAACAGAGTAGTATTTTTGTTCTAAAAATCTTGCATGGTCTTATGCAATGAAGTAAATATATTTTTATAATAGCGAAATAAGTTGAGAAATTGCTTTTTCTTATTTAAAGAAATCCTTTTTACTGTGAAAATAGAATGCTAAGGTTTATTTGCTAATTAAATATTAAAGTCTTCAAGCTATCAAACTATTATACAACTTAAATACTGTTCGAGCACTGCAAAAGATAAAAATGAAGAGTGCAAATCCAGATAAAAAACGTGTCATCATTGGTATAAAAAATACCCCTTTAAATATAATTACTATCTAAATTGAATAACGAGGAAAAGATTTTTTTATTACCAGAGGCGAAAAAAAGGGTTTACGCCAGATACTCTTATTTACCTTTTTTGCACTTTGAAAGCGACTTTGAAAACAACTACCATGAATCGACTAAAGATTTATGTTAGTTTTTTTTTTATATCTCAAGCAAGATGTCATTCTTTATTTCAAGCGAATGTGCAAATTTAATCGGTCCACGCATCTCGTAACGATATCGTGAATGATAAGCGTCAAACAATTATAACAAAGAAAACTAATATACTGACGAATTGAGAACCTCCTTGTTTTCGAAGTCGGTTAAACCGCGAACAAACTGTATAATAAGATTTCTTAACCTTTTCTAACAAAACAAATCAAAATACCAGTACAAATAACTACGAAATTGTTTAACAATATAATTTAATATACATTCGCTAAAGATCGTAATTTCAAATAATATTCAACATTAACCTAACCTTTCTGTGTTAGTAGTGCACCCAAATGAAAGCTCTTTATAGAAACGCATACGTACCTACACATACATGAAAATATTCATTTTCATTTCTGCTGTAGCAAATTTGATCCTGAACGCTCCTACTTACCTAGTTTATTTTGTACAAACATTCCCGTTTCCATCTCGCAACTCGCAGATATGCTTGTGTTTGACTGTAACCTCTCATGCACAAGCAGATTTTTTGCGGCCACAAAACCAGAGTTCATAATGCAAAATGGATAAAACAAAGCAGAAAAAATCCTAGAAACGTGTGGTTCACTTCTTTAACAAGGGCGGTAAACAAGCTTGGCCCATCTGATAGTAAGCTTACTAAGGCCCGTATTTATAGAAAGATTCTCAGTGATTGATCTAGTCTTGAGAACATAGTTAGAAAGGGATGTCGCTTTATATAGGTATAACACATAGCGACATCCCTTTCTAACTGTACTCAAGTAAAGATCAACACTTAGTTGTCATTCTGTAATGCGAGCCTTAGGCCCGTATTATAGAAAGATTCTCGGTGATTGATCTAATCTTGAGCATAGTTAGAAGGGGATGTCGCTATTAATAGCACATAGCGACATCCCTTTCTAACTGTACTCAAGTAAATATCAACACTTAGTTGTCATTCTGTAATACGAGAGAGGTAGGGCATAGCAGATTTCCCTCTCGAATTGGAGCGCCTATCTGGGGTAATAATCACCACGTGCGTGTTGGGTCATGGCCCAATCTCCCTATTCCATCCATAAGGAAGGCCTGTGCCCCAGCAGTGGAGACATTAATAGGTTGGTGAGAAGAAAGACATAACATGGGAAACCATGTTATCCTTCGCTTCCTTCTTCGAGGTTCCTTCCTTTATCTCTATGAATACCAAAATCATAGAGATAAAAGAAGTCGGCGTTAACCCAATCCCCTAACTTGCGGACCCCTATAGCCATACTCACCAGCAGAAACACAAAACCACCTATTGGTATTGTTATTTTACTGTTGTGTTATGTGGAGGTTGCTTCCCCAGATGGGCGACGCTCCAATTTGCGCGGAATACGCTGTGCCCGGTAGGGCCTCTGAACCGATCTGAGGTATCTCTAGGTATGACGACTTCCGTGGCCATGGTTTGTACGCCGGGTTTCATGATGTCGCCGACTCGAGAGGTCCCAGATTCAAATCCTGGTGGGGGCAGATGGTTGTGGGATGAATACGAGCATTTGTACTCCAGTCATGGATGTTTAATATGTATTTCTATAAAAAATATACTTATATATGTACAGTATATGTATTCTATCCGTTACCCTAGTAGCCCATAACACAAGCCTTACAGTGCTTACTTTGGGGCTAGGCTAATTGCTGTGAGTATTGAAATTATTTATTTATTTATTATTTATCTCTTCACCTCAGATCGGTTCAGAGGTTAACTTAAACAGACAGACGGAAAAACAGTGACGTTTTCATTTATCATTGCATTACGGAATGTTGTTTCTTCTTCAATGACTGAGTAAATTTATCGGAATCGAAAAGGATTGGACAATGAGGCTAAAGTATGCGAGGATGGTTGGAATAGTAAATTCTTCTCTAACTATTGAAATAAAAAGCACATTTTGTAAATAGTTAATATATTTAATTGTACTACATTAAATATTACCTAGGTTGTACTTATTATAGGTACTATATATTAACATTTTGTATACGTTGACTAGCGCAATTTTGGAAATGATTGCGAGTTGACAATATTTTAATTAAATAGATATATGAATTAATCTAATTATATTTACGAGTATATTCATTTAAATATGACATATTTTTTTCATATTGAGTATTCATCTCCTTTTTTATTAAAAAAACTTAGCTTAGATTGTTTTATTTAGCAAAATACAATTTTGCTAAATAAAACAATATTTTAACTAGAAATAATTCCACGCTGACCAGGCAGCAGACGGGACTCGAACCCGCACCCTTCGCTATCCGGGTGAATGCAGTGACCAATTGGTCATAATTATGCTACCGCGGCCCTGATGGCCGCGTCGACATTTTTCTAACCATTCTTAAGTTGCAAGGCAGCGCCATCTCTTCGCATTGTAGGTAACCCATAATATTTTTTTTTCTAGTAATATTTTCTTTAGATTTAAGCATCAAGCAGTTACATGCTTAAAAAATAAAAATATATAACTATATTTGCTATTTCTTCTTTCAAATGTTTAATACTTGTAAAAGTATTCATTTGACATTGTGGGTTACTTACAATGCTAAGAGATGGTATGGTAGTGGCGGCCATCAGGGCCGCAGAGGGAAGATGCAATATTTTTATTTTTGTTTTCATTTTAAAGAATTCCATGTAGAATAAACCACAGATATATTAAAAAATTAAAACATTGTGATTTATCGGAAAAAATGCGGTTTTAAATTGACAATTTAAAATTTCGCGCGAAAACGAACCTATGGTTGCAATGACATCACTCCTGTCTGTCACTGGTCGTACTTGTTCGTCGCTGGCTTTAAATTTTCATACTTTTGCATATCTTTTCGACTTTCGAAATATTTTTTTGAAAAATTTAAAATGGACTATCCATCAACATCATGTGATCATAACAATACCACTAATATTCGCTTTCACTAAACGCTGATTGGTGTTTTAAAATACGTTCTGTTTCAAGTATTTTTAATTCGTAATAATTGTTAAAAAACAACATTATGTAAAATAAAAACGTTGCAGTGGCATTTCTTTTATATTTTTTTAACATTTTAATCATAAAATTTTCAGAAATATTATATATTATATGCATCTTCCCTAATCCGCAGTATTTGTTATTTCTGTGTTGCGATTTGAATCATAGGCACAAAAAAATGAAGTAGAATTAAAATACGCTATTGCTGAATATAATTATGGCCATACAATAGAACGATGTTATATCAAAAATTCAAACATGGTCTAAAGACACTACCGCGTTCGTCGTATCGCTTTAAAGTATCAATTTTAATTTCAAATTATGTTTCTGTAGTAAGGCAATTAATGTCTCG